TCCTTGCATGTATTTTTTATTGTTATTTTTATTGTTAGTAGCTTATTGTTAATAGCTTATTAAGCGTGTCCTAACATGCATTTTCTGTGACTGTGATTTGCTGTCACCTGAAGAAGGACTATCCTGTCAAGTGGATATCTTTAATCAGTGAGTCTTAAAAGCTGCATGTAATTACTGGTACAGACATGGATACCTGCTTAAGTGTCTGGTTGGAAGGCTCTAAAACAGGACCTACTATGAGGTCTGTTCTAAATTTGTAGCTATTTGTCAATAAGAATTTGATATCCACTTTAGACAATTGTATTTGTGTCTGGGATTATGCCATGTGCTGGTGCTTCAATGCCAGGAGTTTTAATTTGTGAAGGGAGAACTCCTGATCACATCATGGAGGTTTGCATTAAAAGAAACCAGTGTCACTGCAAACTAAACCCTTCTCAGCCAGAGCACGGTGCTCCTAACATAAACACAGAGTTTTTCTGAAAAGGGTTACTCTTTAACAGTAAGCCTTGGCCTATGTGCTCATGGTCTTGATTTTTGAGGTTGCTTTTGAAGATCTCTTCAAAGTCATTCATGGAATTTGCTGCTCTGCAGAACACAGGTTGAAAGCAGCCATAGTGCTATGGGCTCTTGAAGGGAAGGAGGATTATGGGACAACAGTTATGAATTAATATTCGGAAGAAGGTCAGACCTGCTGCCTTACATGGATGTAGGGATATCACTGATGAATTTGTAAAATCTTGCTCTTTTTTGGGCAGTGATTTTGTGTACTTGCAAGTGGGGATGTCTGCCTGGCTTATGAATGCATGGCACTCTTGTGCTGTTTTTAAGCTTCTGCTGAGCTCTAAACTCCAGGCTAGAAGGGAGTCCCTTATCTGCCTGGATAAAAGGCAATGTTCATTGACAGCTCTTGGGAATGTTGTGGCCCTGAGCCCCTGTGGAAGCTTGTTGGTCTTTGCACTGGAATTTTTTTTTACGATGATTTTTTTCCTACACACCTATAAATTAATATTTGGGCTACTAGTTCCCTAGAGTATTGTAAAATAAATTGTCTGTGTTGCTCTAAAACACCTGTCTGTTGAAGTTCCTAAAGGCCTACATGCCTTTTCTAAGGAAAAATAAATAGAGAATGAAGAAAAATATAAATCAACTTGGTAAGAGTTAAGGCTTTGTGAAGATACATAGCAGTAAAATGGACACAAAATTGGAGAAGGAAGAAAGTAAAGAATCTAATTAAAATGTTATTTTTCTTTTTTTTTTCTTTTCTTTTTTTTTTTTTTTTCAGTTACCTGTCATCTTTTGTTGTTCACGTACTCTTGTTGAGCTTGCACATAAATAAATGATGCATTGACTCAGTGAAGTCATTGTAATAAATTGTTTGATGTGCTGTGTTGAAAAAAATCTTTTGAAATTCTGTCTCTTTCTCTGTCTACTCACCTTGTGGCTTTTAATATCTTGTTTCCCATCTGTCTGTTTCTGTCATAAACTGAGCATAACTTTTCAGACTTTAATGTAGGTCTCTTTTTGTTCTGGTTTAGGTAAGTATGTAACAAATGCGTGATTTGGCTGCCAACAGTAATGTCAGAAAGGAATGTTAAGGTGTGTGTTCCCTTTGTGAAATAGAGAAATGCTTATTTGTAGATACTTGATAATGCATATTTACAGTACATAATCTGTCTCTGAAAACAAATGAATACAGAGGTGTCTGTATTGTTTTATTACATCTGCTTTAATGTTACAAATCCAAAGGTTACTTTTATGAATCTCTTATTAGTTAAAAGAGAAAATAAACAGGTCTATAGATGTTTCATGAAAACAATTTTAAATAAAGGTTTAAAAATACTTAACTGAGAATGTAATATAAATGTACTCAGTCTTCATTTTGAGAGATTGGTTGTACTGAAGATACTCTTAGTGCAGGAAGTATCTCTAGCAATGAAGTCTTCACTGAGTCTTGTAGTACAGAGGAATTTGAATAAATACTTATTTTGTTAATAACACTTTTTTCCAGGGGTAGAAATGTTCATTAGGGATGTTCTAATCTGAATGTTCTATCTGTAGAAATGTTCATTAGGGATGTGTTTTAATACTTATAATTCAGCAGTTTGATTAACAGCCTTAGGGTATAGGTAAATAAACTCTATTTTCTTTTTTAAGGACATACTGTAAAGATTTTGTGGTGCCTTTTCAGTGAGAGGTAAAGCTCTGGGGAGAGCAAGGAGAATGAACTGAGAAAGGGAAAAGCAAGGGAAAGGGAAAAGTCCTGGGACTGCCTATAGCAATTTCATGGGACAGTAGAAATAGAAGCAAGTCTTCTAAGTCTGCTGAATTCATTAGACAGTTATTACTAAGAAGCAAATGCCACAAAGTTTACTCAGCTGAGTATATTTATGCATAAAACACAAAATGCTAAAATACATCCTTTGATGTGGTCAATAGAAGTTTATTTGTATAATAATGATGATAATAAAAATAATACTTCCTTTTGGTTGGCTGATTTGACTATAAACAAGATACACAACTCAAAATTCAAAAGGAACCGAAAGCCTTTTTCCTTTGTGACTTACTGAAAAAAAAAATTATAAGCAAAATAACTTCAGCAGGATACACAGGCATGAAAGCAAAAGATCAGTATATTGCTCCCTATTGCTACTGAAACAAACCTATTGCTACTGGAACAAGCCTTTGAACAAGCTTTAGTGGTGCAATTCCAGTATTTAGTGAGTGCTATGTTTTAAATCCTTTTTCCAAATCTTTTTTTTTCCCATTGTACAGGGTACAGGTGCTTTGGAGAAATATGTACAAGTAGTTTTGCCTTTAAAAGAAAGGAAAAAAAAAGCCATTAAAAGAATTATATTCATCTCAAGCAATATGCAATACTATTAAAAATATTTTTATACTTAAAGATATCAGTTTTCTTGTGAAAAATATATTTTCATAGCATAGACTACAGATAAATAAATGGAATGATATCTTGGCTTGATTGTATTCAATATCAATATGGTAGGATTTCTGTTTTGCTGGGTTTTAATTCACTTCACAGTGAATTAAAGAACTTTTTAGAGTTAAGATTAGCCTAGCATTTCCTTGCCGAAGTGTGAAAAGCTAAATACAAATACATCCTGCATAGGATGTTCTTATGTCTTTAAAAGTCCAAGCCCATTGTAGTGGATGCTTCTCACCCATCAGTGAAACCTGTAATACAGCAGCTACAGTACAGTGCTACACACAAACAATACAGAACAATATCTAGCAATTTCATCATCATTGCATAGTGTGCTATTTTAGAAAAACCTCACTAGGTGGTGTGAACCCAAATTGAAAAATGACAGGAATAATAAGACTAGGATATCTGTAATTAGTAAATAATACACTTTTGTGACTCATCAAACTCTGTAATAATAGTGTGTTTCATTCTGTGCTACTGAGGAAAGTTGCAAAACAGAAGGAAAAGTCCTTTCTATATATTTTGCAGATCCATTTCCTCAATTGCTGAGATTTTCCAGTGGATCTCCTACTGAGGGACACACTAGACATTGTTTAACGTTTTAGCTGAATGAAGTGACACTGAGATATAATAAGCTGCAACTAAAACCCAACTCCAAAACGTTTTCCAGCAGTTCTCAGGAATATGGTATTGTATTTGTAGTTAGCACGTGGATGTAGTTTTTCAGCAACAGTTAAATTCTCATTTGCTGTATATTCTTAGGTTTTCTGCTAAATACTTGCTTTGAATGTGAAAGTGATGCACCCATGTTGCCTTTTCAGGGTATATGAAGAAAAGAAGAGAGTTTTTTTTTTCTTCTAAAAATTCTTATATAATTCACGTTTACTGGTGGACTCTGAATTAATTACTACGTATTTAGATGTAGATTAGAGAAGTCACGAAGGAAAAAGGCTTTCAGTTCCTTTTGAATTTTGAATTGTGTATCTTGTTTATAGTCAAATTAGAACGTTGTAAACACTTTGATCATTGTAAGGAACTTCTTCTGTCTAAGGGAGTAATTTGAAGAAAATCATGTTTTTGGAAAAAATATTGTCACATGGCCTACTATTTAAGCGAACAGTTGCACTTACTGTCACAACTAGTTAACGGTGTGAAACAAATGCATTGTCTGTTGAATTAATGAGAACTTTTGAATAACTAATTGTAATGCTTGAATGTGTTACTTGGCTTTAGATACATAGTCACCCACTGTTCTCTCAAAGAAATAATGAAAAATCTGCCACTGATTATAACGGGATCACTGTTTTTCATGCATTACTGCATCATAAATTTTCACTTTTTTCCTAAGATGCATTTGTGCTTACAAAATATATAATTACCCCTGAAATTATGGTTACTAAATTTAGCATGCCATATTTTTTAGAAAATTAATCTTTTTTTCTTCTGTTACATTAAAAATTTGATGAATCTCTCCTTATCTTCTGATAGCAGATGATTTATTGAGGCCTACCTCTTAATACTGCAGAACGTGTTCCCATGTGCTGAAGATTTCTGAAATACTTTCTGTAGCTTGGATGTATAGAATGAGAATAGGAGAGAACAGAAACTTAGTCTTCTGACTGAGAAAGTCTTGTGACCGTGAATCGGGAAATGTGAGTTCTAGCTCACAAATCCATTGTGCTTCCTTTCCTTTCAGAATATGGACAAGACACTGATATTTTCATGGCCTTTGTTGACCATTCTGTAAAATGCTTAGGGTAATACTGCCTTATCTCTTAAGGTAGTTTAATGCTAGATTTGTCCAGCATTACTAGTGTTATAGGACACTCCTTGTTTTACTATTTGAATTATACTTACCCAGACATTTCCATGATACATATATTTGTTTAATATGAAAATTTCAGGCTATACATAACATAGAATATATAAAAAAAATATTTTTGTGGCATAAAATATTTTACCTTATGCATATAAACCAAATACAAATATACAGAATTCACAAAGATGTCAGTGAAGCTTGAGCTTTCCTGAATACTTTACTTTTTTCCATTTATAGGTTGCATGTCTTACTCATGTAGCAGCTAATTATCTTAATTGCAAAATTGAAGGAAAACGCTGGGGTACTGCACATGGGAGTATTGTTCCATACCAGGTAAGTCAAAAACATAGGTTTATTCTACTTTTAGAATTCATGATTTTTTGTATTATAAGATTGAGAACTGACTGACTTTTCCCATGACCTGCTGTATTCTGTAATGTATCTGTGTCTAGGTAGGACAAGGTTCTGTTGTTCATAGTAGTTTCTGCATTTTGCATATTTCTTCATCAGCAGTAGATTAGTAATAGAACACTGACATAGATCAAAGGTGTTCACTGAAACTGGATGACTTTAAAGCTAGCACAACGACTAGATCATTTTTTGCTCTACAGAGAAAAGCTTTTTTTTTTTATTTTCTTTTCTTTTTTTTTTTTTTCTTTCACTTAAGGGTTACCTGACTTCCATACTAGCCACAAATTTAAATCTTTTGCCTCTGAATCTTACTGTTTTTACCTTGTGAGTCTACAAGAACAAGCTAAGTGTCCGTGAAAGTCTGGGAGTTCTTATTTATTTACCATTGTCCATTGAGTTTGCTGCAAATCACTGGTGCTCAGTGAGGCAACAGGTTAGAAAAGGAATTAACCAGACCTCAGATCTCTCCAATGGAATTCATAGCCTCCTACATCTAAGGAAAGGGTTGAAATTCCTTAAAATAACATGACCTTCATCATATAAGCAAGCACAGGAAAAAAAAAATCACTGCAGGCTTTATCTTCTGGCTAGTGTATGAGAAACTCTTCAAGTAAACAAAGCCAATTTTGTTCTTTTCTAGCTGATCATTTTGTTATCTTGATGGAGGTCATATTAACTTAACGAGATTTGGACATATATTTAATCTATTCTTTGTTTCATTTTTGGCACTTCTCATCAAGTACTTATGTTTGCATCTAGCTAGGAAGAGTCTAGATTTTTTCATTTCTGGACGGAGTCCTTTCAATCCTGATAGGGACAGTTCCCAGCATTTGTCTGGGACAACTAGCATCTAAACACCACTCATTTGCTTTACTGTCTCCCTTATCGTTAGAGAATGAGAGGAACTCAATGTATATTTACTTCCCAGTGCTGGAGGTGGTGGTGATCATTCTTTTATTAAAGGATTTTCTACTAGTGGCTGTAGAAATTCTGAAGCAAAAATCTTCTAAGTGTAAGCTATATATATATATACACATATATTACGTACATATATATATCTATATTGCATACATATATATGTATATTATAATATACATAAATATATATTATACAGAACGTTATCCATAGCTAAAATTATAGCAGATCTCCTCAGGTCTACAACAAACATCAATTGTTTTTGTAAAAGCTTTGTATATTTGAGCTAGGAGACTTTTTTTTTTTTGTGTCTGTGTGTTTGTTGATTTTTATTTTATTTAAGTATGTGCTTCTGCATAGTCAACCATCAATTTCTGGACTAGCTAGAATAGATTGCAAATTATCTCTGAGACTGATGGGGAGATGTTGCAGCTGTTTGTTCCTGCAGTATTCTCATCTCAGGTGTAGAGCAGCACAGCCAGAGCTGCTCTAGTCTGCGGCGCGAGATGGCCATATTTTGTAGGACCAACAGTGTGTAGAGCTCTGTAGTGCAACGTGACCCAGCCTAACCAGGCATCTGCTACACAAGTAGTTGTATTTGGGTGTGTTTCTGTAATGTGACCTTTTGGTGCAACCCTTTTTGAACTTTGGTATGTTGAAAGTACAAAACAGATCTAAGTGTCTTTAGTTTCTATAAGCAAAACCAAAAACCTGACTAAACAAAACATTTTATCTTCACCCTACTGCATTTGGATGAATAAATGAAACTTGCATTCTTTAGCACCTTTTTGCTTTTGTTTTTCCACAGTCAAAATGAGAAGAAAAGCATACAAAAGACATGGATATGTCTTACATATGGATACATTGGTATCCATTGTTTCTTTTTTTCATTGACAGCTCTCCAGATATACAAAATTAGTTGAGATTTTTTTGTTCTGGTTTAATCAACATTAATCAATATGTAAATAATTTTTTTTTAATTTTTTTTTTTGTAATAATCCTATCTAAACCACGGTTTCTGTGTTTCTGTAGGCTGTTTCTGCAGTAGGTATTATAAATATTACTTCAATATTACAAACAGTCTTAATTTTCTAGTTCATAAACCAGTGATTAGGATAGGTTTATAGTGGGTGGAGCTTTGTGTGTGTTTTTGTGGCTCATCTGCAAACTTTCCATCAGCTAACCTGGTTATGATTTTGACAGCAACAGTAAAGTGTATTTGTTTTCTAGAGTTTTTCTCACTTTACTAGCATAAGCTATCATTAGAGTGCAAAGCTGTTTAGAAACTTGAATTAGCTTGCATCATTGCAATTGTATTGCTTTTATAGCTGTTTCCATAGTTCATGTGCAATATAGCTTAGAATAAAACTCAGAAACCTGAGTTTCATACCATTACAGTTACTAAATATACACTTTCACTTAAAAAAGTAATATGTGACTATCATAATGCTATTTTTTGTTATGAAAAATGTTTGTTTTAAGGTATTTTGTGCAACTAAAATATAATTTGTTGAAATAATAAAAATTATATTTCCTAAAATTGAACTTGCGTGTAACTTAGAACAAGCATGTGGTAGCAAACTGTTCTTTTCTTCTTAAGGCCCCTTGCTGTATTTTGAGCTTCCACCTTGGTGGAACTTTGAAGTGATAGAGAGTAATCATGGGAGATCCTTTTATAGATATTAAAATGACGAAATATATATGATTTATGATGTCTACATCAAAAGAAGCACGACTACTAGGTCAAAGGAGGTGATTTCTTCCCCTCTGGGGAAAAAGGGATGGTTTAGAACTAAAAGAGAGGAGATTTAGACTAGATATTAGCAAGAAATTCTTCACTGTGGGGGTGGTGAGGCACTGGAACAGGTTGCCCAGAGTAACTGTGGATGTCCCATCCCTGGAAGTGTTTAAGGCCAGGCTGCATGGGGCTTTCAGCAACTTGGTCTAGTAGGAGGTGTCCCTGCTCATGGCAGGGGGGTTGGAACTGGGTGGTCTTGAAGGTCCCTTCCAATCCAAATCGTTCTATGATTCTGTGATCTTTTTTGTGAAAGAAGTCTGATCAGAGACTGATGAAAAATTAATAAAGACTACAAGTTGAAAACATCTTAAATATGCACATAATTAGTACTTTATTTTGCTTTTAATTGTGGTAAGTGTTCTAGTGCTCTGTTAAATGCAGTCAGCATTATATACTGAAAACTATTGTAATTTTTTTTCATTAAGCTTCAATTTCATACTTTTGGCCAGAATATCCTGTTTGCAAATGGCTTCAAATGGCTAAGTTTTCAGCTAGATTTTCTTTCCCCAAACTACCAAGATATGTAGCCCCTTTGAAAACCTATTTCTAGTCCAAGTAACAAACCCTTAAGAAAAGTGATGTAAAGTTTGCTGCACAAGGACTTTCATACCCTTATAAGTTTTTTCTCATTTTCTGATAGTGTGCTCCCTTTGTGGCATAACCATATGAAATGTCTGAGTTTTCAGTTCTGTTTGCTCATCACCTTCTCTGACAAGGAAGAATTTCAACTTCTTTTCAGTGCATGATTTCTTTCATTGCACCAGTAAAGCAGTCAGTATATAATAGTTTGCCAAGTTTGCCGATGGAGGTGAACTTTATAATATGCCACAAAGGTGAAGAAAGCTGGATTCTTGTCAACAGAAGTCAGAAGTAAATTTTAGAGTGCTGAACCCTTCATGAGAAAGTATCTACTTCTAAAACTATCTACTATCTAAAAGCAAATCTCTTTTCAGTCAGAAAGGTGTAGTTGGAATAGGCCACTCCTGTGATCATACAGGAACAATATCTTGCGTGTAACCAGATCCCAATTTGCTTAGTTTCAGATGTTAAAACACAAACCTTGGGTTCTGGTCTGTATCTTAAATGTAATTAGTACATTTTTTTTAAACAAGTTCCTATAATGAGACAGGTTGTTTAGCTACAGCTGTTCCATGATTATCCCAAGGAAATCAAGAGCTTAAAAGCATCCGGTTTACATAATTGTGCAGAGAGGTAAAGTCATGTTACTGTCTTTCATCTGGGGTGATAAGGTCTTTCCTCATTCTCATGGTTTCACCAATGTAGCTATCTTACCTGTATCATGCCTGAGATCTAGACACTCACTTTTTATCTTATAGTTGGACCACTGGGAACAGACAAATTCTCCTGAGTATTTCATAACCTGCGTGTTTACAGGTTGTTTCCTGTGGCAGCTTATCACCTTTCCATCAGCAACTCGGACAACTAGGCAGTAGTTTCAGATACAAACTTTTAGCTAAAGGTACAGGGCTGTTTGCTTTCAGGTCATAATGGTAAAAGTTGGTCTGAAAACCGAGAGACCAATCTCTTACAAATCTCTCTTCTCCAGACACCTTCTCCACCTTGCCTCCCAAAATTGTCTCCCATGAATATATTACTACTGTTCCAAGTTTATTCCTAGTACTAACAGGGACTTCTCAAATATACATCATATTTTCAGAATATGCAAAGGGCACGACCATTCTGCACAGAAAGTGAAATCACAAGACAGGAAATAAATTATTTTATTCAATTATCTTTTCTGTGCCTGTGCACTGTCATAATTAATTACAACCAACATTAATGTTTTTTTTTTGTATTAGAGCATCACTGAGATTCTCTAAGAATCAGCCCTTTGTTGTGCTAGGCATAACATTTCCTTCATTCTTGCCCAACTGATCTGGCAGAGGTGCTTTTCATTGGTGCATATGTGTACCAATTTTCCTAATATGGCTCTGGAGAATCTCACAGAACTTCTCATGATCATCTACTTTTTGTAGTGTAAAAAAAAAATTAAGCTGTAAAAAAATTATTATTTTTTTTTTCTCAGTAAAAAAGTTTTGTCAATCATTCAGAAATTTCATGCTGTTTATTCCACACAAGAATGTACATATGTGGTCATTTTTTTTCCTGTCTTGATTTGGTTTTATTGGAAAACTTCTGCAGTTAATGTGTCTTGGAACCAAAATCAACAAAGAATGGAACTTGGATT